TCTGGCCATCACAACAAGGTTCATGTGCAAGAAGTTTCGAGCCTTGAAGAAGGAAGGAATGATAATAGAATACATGCAGTCATATCAAGAGCTATCTTCGCCGCTGCAAGAGTTGCCGGAGGTGCTGGAAAGCGATTGAGCCCTGAAATTTGGGCTGAAGTCAGGATACTAAGCACCAAAGGATTGACCTGAATTTGGGAGACCTTCCAATGGGTCGAGGATCTAAATTTCCTACTCATGCAAGCCCAAAATGGGTTGGGCCAGATTTCATAGGCCACCTCCACTCCATACAGCCAAAACCCTCACCTACCATACAACTCAAACCCAAACCCACCAACTTCCATTTCTCCACCTTCCAAATCAGTGATGTTGGCTCCCAAAACACATATCCCCAATTCCACCAAGTCATAGAGACACCCAAAATTTCCATGAGCCTTCAAGAAGCTCTCTAGTGCAGAGCTCTGCATCTAGCAAACCTAGAAAGGGCCTCTACTTAAGATGTGATGAGAAATACTCAACAGGGCACACATTTAATGTAATCAGAAGGAGCTTCACGTCTTGGCTATCAGTGGAGACCCTAACAAAATTTGGTCCATGGTGATGACGAGGCGATTGATGGTAAGGAAATGAAAATTATAGGGGGCTCTATGGAACTATCCCTTAGTTCCGTAGTGGGGTTGACCTCCCAAAAGACTGTGAAGGTCAAAGGGACGATTGTGTACAATGAGGTGGTGATGTTAATTGATTGTGGAGCCACTCATAACTTCATTTCGGTAAAATTGATGTAGCAACTGGGTCTTCCTCATCCAAGCACGGTAGGATATATAAGATTCAAAGAGATATGTAAGGGGGTTGTGTAGTCACTTTAAAACATTGAGGTAATTGATGATTTCTTCCACTCAGCTCGACAGCTCCAATGTTGTTTAGGGAAGCAATTGCGTTTGACAAAGACCTTAGGCATGATGCACATCGGTTGAAAGAAACCCAAAACTTTCTCTATTTTTTAACCACGAATTATCCATCATAAAACTATTACAAAATGCGTTTTTTGGAAGAGGGGGGGGGGTTCAAACAAGCCCTATATCTATTTTTTTCATCTCAATCACCAAATTTAGACAATAAATAATTAGGAATACCTGATCAAATTCTTCTCGTTAATTGATTTACCTTTCTCAAGTTCAAATCAATCATACTCAATTAGGTGTTATGTTGAAAACCAATCCATGGAAATTCCAAGCTTCATTGTGAATTTCAAAAAACATAGCCAAGAAAAAAAATGGCATACTAAAACTTGTGCCAACATTAATTGATACAACATTCTTGATAACATTTTAACATTTTCCAATTGATTTATTTATTTTTCCCACGCAAAAAAAAAAATTAATAATAATAATAATAATAATAATAATAAAAATAAAAATAAACAAACAAACAATAGTTATAAATGGTTAGGCAGGCAACATACTATATAGGTAAAGTTTCAAACATTACAATAATTGATAAATAGATACCAAATGGTAGAAATCAAACGGTAAAAAACAGATGATCTAGGGTTTTACCTTTTATTACTAAAAACTGATGAACTAGGTTAGTGCGTTTTCCTTCTCGAAGGCTGCTTCTCGGTTGCTAGCTTGTAAATCCAGTAAACCTGCACACACACACAAACACATAGAAAGAAACTTCAATTTAGGAATCATTTTGCTTAATAATAACAGATTTGAGGTTGGTTTTAACCAAAGCAAGGACGTGGGCAACAATAAGAATAACGACCGCCAAAGGTACGATTTCCAGAATCCATGGCCGACCCGATGCTTGCTGCGAATTCACCATAATTGGTAGAATTTACAGAATGCAAAACCCTCGGGGTGTGTTTGTGTGTGTGTATTTGCCTAATTGGTGGAGTGAAAACTGAAGAAGACCAAAAAATGCAGGAATATTTATAGAAGGCCCTTTTGTTTGTTAGACTCCCGGTGAAAATGGTCCTCTTTTTTTTTATTTTTTTTTTATTTTTTTTTTTTTTGGCATCATATTTTAATTGTAGATAAATTCTTCAATTTTTGTTCAGCAACAATTATTTTCTTCACCATTTTTCACCTAATTCTTATCTTTAACATTTCATTAATTAGTATATTTCGTCCTTCACGATAATTTATATCAAAATATTTTGTTTTTATACTTTGAAATCAAGAAGTATATTTTTTGCATTTTTTATTTTTATTTTTACAAATATGATTTAAAAAAAAAAGTTGTTTCACACCATTTTAACAAACTTTTAAACAAAAAAAACAGTCATCAAATACAAAATGTTTAACTAATGAAAAGTTTAAGGATAAGATTGAAATGAAAAATCAATAGAAACATAACTACTATAACGAGAAAAGAGTAATAAACTTAACTACAACTAAAATTTAGTGCAAGAATTAAAAATTGACAATAATTAGTTTTTAGGGAAATTGACGTGCACGGTCCCTAACCTTTGTACATTTTGCATTTTTTTTTTTTTTTACATGAACCTTTAAATTTTAGCATTAACATCTCAAACCTATCCATTAGGCATCAATTGGTCCTTTTGAATGAAATCCATGCAGAAGGATCGTTAGTTTTACATGAACCTTTAATATTTGGCATTAACTGCATTTTCTTTTAAAAATAAATGATGTAGTCCCAGCTTTTTGGCAAAAGTAACCATCTTGCACATAATTAATTTTTCAACTAGTTTCTTTTCAGCGCCTATTTGAGCTCCATTTTTAGTAAAGAATGTATTTGAAATTGTAAATTAATGGAGAATGTGTGGTTAAAAATAAAAGAAAAATTTTGAATTTATTTGTAATATTATTTTATCAAAAAATGTATGACTGAAAAGAGAAAAATATATTTTAAAAATAATGAAGATCAAACAAGTATCCAGTGTATAAGCATTATACCATGGTTAATCACCCCACCACCATGTTAAAGATTGTCCTTCCTTTCTCCATATAAGTTCCTGTCTTTCATTTTTAGCACACAAAAAATCACCTCTACCAGCTCCTCTCCACCCGTGGTGATCGTCTTCGTCACCACCTTAATAAAGGGCATTTTCTCTCCTTGTTTGCCGACAAATAGGGGGAGCAATTCCCCTAATATCACGGTAATATGAAGGAGAAATCATCCCATGTGAATCTACAAATCAATCGTGTTTGGTGTACACCAAGTTTTACACTCTACCACGTGACAACATATTACTAGACAGTTTAAAAATAACACAATTTTTGGATCCAATCATGTGTTGTGAAGTACAAAAATAGTGTACACAAAAAGGTGTACAAATAGCATTTTTTTGGGAGGATTCTCCCACCCCACCCACGACTCCTGGCGATTTGTAGTAACAAAGGGGAGAAATTCCTTTGTTTACGGGGACCCGATAGGAAAAATCCCCTCTAAATTCGTAGATTTATTAGGGGTTATTTCTCCCTACATTATTGCGAAATTAGATAACGAGAACTATGGGTTCAGGACCTTGCTATTTGTACAAGGAGGGTTTAACACCCTCCCTGACAGAACAGACTCATAGGGCGACGGGAGAGCAATTTTTTATCATTTTTTTTCACTGGGTCCCACGCGGGTCTCATGCGAATGTGAGAATCTGTCAAGAAGGTGATAAACCATTTTTCTGTACAAATCGTATTTCCCATGGGCTCATGTTCATCTTACTAGCAGCCCTATCCCACCTCATTTCATTAGTTCTTATGGTTGTGAAAAAGCCTCAACTCAATCCATTATTTTATGCTTCATTGCGATAGGGGAGAGACATGGTGGCGACGACAACTAAATATATAAAGGGAAATTGTTTTTGTTTTGGATGAGAATGGTGGTGGTGATTAGGTGTGGTGGTTCGGTGTGTTGGAGAATAAAATAAACTTATTTTCATTCTATTTCATATTTTTTTAATTATTTTTATTTACGAACAACGATAACTTTATCTTTTTAAAAATATACTAATATTAAGGATAATTTTCTTTTTTTTTTTTGGGGGAAATCTTGTTAGACGTTCTTCTCCCAAGTGCTAATTTTCATTGTTACCACATTCTTGTTAATTTCACGCAACATATGCACAAATGAACTCAAGAATTCATATCATATATTTTTTTTTCTCTTTTATCGGTAAATATAAATATCATTAATAAAAAATGTTCATGTACAAGTACACCGGGCAAACCCGGACAATCAAAGAGCTGAGATTACAAGTACTCCGAACATACCCAGGCTAGCAAAGTAAAACCAATGACAAGTACACCGGACATACCTGGGAGAAGTTCTAAAAAGCAAACACAAATTGATGAACAAAACAAAGGTTCAAATGTCAAATGCCAAAGACTCAAAATGAATCAAAACATATGGATACAAAGAGAACATAACTTTGTGTACGTGTGTTTTGATCTTACCAACAATGCCTTCAACATTTGGTTTTAAATCCTCAAAAATACCCCTATTACGTGCCATCCATAAATGGTAAACGGTGCTTGCAAGAGCAATCTGCTTAGCTTTGCTATGCCATGTTGTCCCTCAAGCCTCTTTCTTAATCCACTTCAATGCACTTGATATGGTGGACACGGAGCGTCTAATGCCCAACTAATCACAGACATGTCCCAAAACAACAAAACTAATCGGGCAAGAGAAAAATAAGTGACGCTCCGTCTCCTCATCAACTCCACAAAAAATACACATTTGATCAATATCCAAATGTTTCAATTTATCCTTTGTTAGTAACTTTGATATAGCTCCCAACCAAAGGATAAAGGCATGTTTCGAAGTGACATAGGAATTCCAAATTATTTCTGTCCAAGCAACTTTCGTCCCCTTTGTTCTGAAAAAATTATAAGTTGTTACAACAGAAAAACTGCCCCCGGCTGTGCATGCAATAAAGCTGTCTATTGTAGCCATAGAAACCGCTTTAGGCTGTGCAATGTGAGGTGCATTCTAATCTGGTCGTTGAAGTTGTAGGAATCTGTCACGAATTTCCAGCAATCTTTTAAGTAATGAAGAGTCGTCTTTCCTTGCCGTGTAGTCCCAAATGTCCCTACTTCCAAGGAAAATCATATTAACCCACTTCATCCAAAGTGTGTCTTTTTTGGAGTGAATGTTCCAAAGAGTTTTAGCGAGGATCGTCGAATTCCAACATTTTATTTCTCTAAATCCCAGCCCACCTTCTTGTTTAGGTAAGCAAATACTTCTCCAAGCAACCAACGGCTTTTTTGAATCCCAAAGAAAGTTACGGCATAAGCTAGTAACCTTAGATGCAACCGTGGATGGAATAAGAAGAATGGAGAGCCAAAAACATACAACACCTTGTAGGACGGCTCTCACAAGTTCCACTCTCCCCGCAAAAGATAAAGTAGCCCTCGACCATGCTCCAATGTAGTCCTTAATTTTGTTGATGAGTAAATCATAGGTGTTGATTTTAAGTTTTCCTGCCGCAAGTGGAATCCCCAAGTAACAAAAAGGGATAGATCCTTTCAATAAGCTTGTTAGTTGGACAATATCCTCCAACTCTTGTCCGTGGACACCCGCTGTGTACAAGTTTGACTTGTTAACATTCATCTTTAATCCAGACATATCTCCAAAATTGGATAAACATTCCATTAAAATCCCAACCGAGATAACATCTCCTCTAGCAAAGAGCATCAAGTCATCCGCAAAAGTAAGGTGGGTAATCTTTAATGGGCCACATTTAGGATGGAAATTAAACTCACTATTTTCAGTACCTCCTTTCAACATTCTTGAAAAGTACTCAAGGCAAATAACAAACAAGTGGGGAGAGAGCGAGTCACCTTGACGAAGCCCCTTCTTTCCTTTAATAAAACCATGGAAGCAACCATTCAATGCAATGGAGTACGAAGGCGTTGTGATACATTCCATCACCCATGCAATGAATTTTGTTGGAAATTTGAGCCCTTCAAGCACACTTTTAAGAAAATCCAATTAACCGAATCATATGCCTTCCTTAAATCAATTTTAAGGAGCATCTAGGTGCAACTCTTTTCTGGTTATATTGCCTTAAGAGTTCTTGTGTAAGATGAATATTTTTCGTCATGCTTCTACCTTCCACGAATGCGGCTTGTGATTGATCAATAATATGTCCAAGAATAGGCCTCAATCTAGAAGCAAGGATCTTTGTGATAACCTTATAAAAAATATTACAATAGGCAATAGGTCTATAATCCCCTACTCCAATAGAGTGACTTCCCTTAGGAATTAAGGCAATGGCCATGTGATTTATTTGCTTGAGGAGTGAACAAGATTTGAAAAATTCTTTAACCGCTCCCATGAAATCACTTCCAACAATGCTCCAAGATTTTTTTGAAGAAACATGATGTATATCCATCCGGTCCCCGTGATTTATCATCTCCAATAGAAAACAATGTATCCTTAATCTCATTGTCCGAAATATCCCAAACAAGTGCAATGGCATGGTCATCCGATAACATGGAGCCATTCTTCAAGATATCAACATCAATAGGTCTCCCCGGACTGTTTTTCCCTAAATCAATGTAGAAAAGGGTGAATTCGTTAGCCACTTCTTGTAGTGATGAAGTATACGTCCCATTTCCTTTACTTACCGTAGCAATGAAGTTGCGTTTTGCATTTCTTTTGACTATCGAATTAAAGAAATTAGTGCATTTATCACTATTTTTTAGGTACTCACATTTGGCCTTTTGATGATAAAAGCTTCTTTTTGCTTCACAAAGATTCATGGCATTTTTCCTCATAGATGCCACCCTACCTTGAAGTTCAATATTAAGAGGGTCCCCTTGTAACTCCAATTGCGCTATTTTCAAATTCAAACTACCCATTTTAGCTCTTGAGGAGATGTGTGAAAAATGTTTCTCATTGAGCTTCCTTAGATCTCCTTTAAGACTACGCAACTTCTTACAAAGAATGAATTGCTTTGTGT